CCCCCTTATCTTTCTCCTTCCTGCATACATGACTAGGCCCAGGAATGCTGGGTGGTGTGGCCAAAAGGTGGGAAACAGGTGGGCTGAAGGGGGAAGGGCAGGATGAAGTAGCTAAGTACACATTAACAACTTTACAGCTCCCTGTGGGGAGGGGAAATTCCTGGGACAGGTTACCTTGGCAACAGGTTGGAGCAGGGCCAGGTTCTTGATAAGGGTGAAGGAAGGGCGCTGAAGGAAGGGCCCTGAAGGAATTAACATTTCAATCCCTCAGGGGACAGACTCCAACTTCCCAGACTCACTCAAAATTGGCCTCCTTGATCTGATCTGACTCCATTTACCTATCTACCCTGACTGCCTGTCTAATTCTGGCTTCAATATTGCATACAATTAATGGCATTCAATGGCAAAGAAATGTACTACAATGATTTTGCATTTGGAATACCAGTATTATACTTGAAATATTCAAGATTGTATGAAATTCATCACATAGAGATATTGAGAAGAATATTTTGATATTAGAGTTGCATAACTTTTCTCTGTAAGATTTTATAAATATTACCAGGGATGTGGTACCAAGTGATATCAAAATGAAATAAAAACACAGAGTGGTACATTCTCAAATTGATCTAAGCAACCGGAAAAGTTTGCAGTGTCATTCTGCTAAGGAGATAAAAGAGTGAAAATGTCATTATTTTTGAAATGCTACAATTTTGAAAAGCACTACAATGATTTTGGTGATTTTTATTAGTAATAGTTATATTAATTGCAATAGTAGTAGTTGTAGCTGTGTAAATCACAGTTATAACAACATATTTACAAACACAAATGGTATTATTTTTGTTTCCTTAAGCTATAAAATTATTCTTAAGTCAGAAAATTGGGGGGAAAAAAGGACTGGTTTTTTTTGTTGTTGTTGTTTTTCCAGTCTACGAATTCTCCATTTCTCAGATTTTCTTTTTCCACATGTTAAATGATCTCAGATCCATCATACTGTAAATATTTCCTTGCTATCCCTGGAAACAACTTCTCATGAGGTAACAGTACTTTCTGTCTACTTTCAAGTAATGAATATATACTTTTGCAAAGCACAAATGATTTTCATAAGTGTAATGACCCCTCCAGAGGCCAGATCTACAGCATTAACCTGGGATCAAATAGATTCAAAGCAAAACAAAACAAAACAAAAAAGTTAAAAGCAGATGATGAAAGACACTTAGATATTAATACCTTTCTATATCCATGACCTGTCAGAAAATATATGTTCCATCCATTGTTCTTACTTTCCAGCTAGGAAGCTGTTTATCTGGGTGAGTTTCTTCTCCACTTGTTATACCTATACTTAGCTGAGGATTTCTAATTATAGCAAATTTTAAGAGGATGAAGAAAAAATACCAAACCAGGTTATCTTAATCCTCTATCTCTCAGTAACAAACTTGCTTTTGGCATAATTATTTTCTCTATCTGGCCTCAATTTTTTTTGCTCGTTTGTTTTATCAACAATATGTGAGAGAGACCAAATTCTTGTCATTTAAAGGTGGAAGAGATAGAAAGGTGATTTAATAACATCTTTCTAACTGCATGTGAAGAAATGGACATGCTCTCCTCAATTAGTAGCAAAAGTAAGATGAGAATAAGATTTTCAGGATCCTCTTCTATTTTTCACCTACTAAGTAGTTCTAAATTTACTAATATTTTTCAAATATGAAAAGACAGTCTGTGGTTTGGGACGTGCGTGTGTGTGTGTGTGTGTGTGTGTGTGTTTGTGTGTAGTTTGAAATCTAACAATATGAAGAGATGAAGTATCCTTTTGTCATTGATAGCTTTGTTCCTTGGGCCACAGTGACCACAGTTCAGCTCCCATCCCCTGAAAGCCAATCTTTTCTGTATCATGGATATTAAAATCTCCTAGTTTTGTTTCTTGTGTTCTCGTGTCCTATGCTTTGCCCTCTCTTATGTAAGAAATGTTTCTATTCTTTTCTCCTTTCTATTCCTTTCTCCATTCAGAGAAAATGACATTTTCTGATCCCATTATCACATAAAGCTAAGAGGCACACAATGAATCCCTTTGCTGTCCCATAAACATTTTAATGATTTTTTTTAAAAGTGTGTGTTCCTATTCATGCAGTTCCCATCTACTTAGTAAAACTTTAAAAGGAAATGTATATTTCTCAGGTGATGTGCCCAAAGCTAGTTTAAATAAGTGGAATTTATTGATTTTTATCAAGGAATACATATAAATGGGATGTCATTTTTGTGTTAAAAAAGTAATCATGTGGGGCTGGGGTAGTAGCTCAGTGGTAGAATACTTGCCTAGCATGCCTGAGGCACTGGGTTCCTTCCCCAGCACCACATAAAAAAACTAAATAAGCAAAAGTAATTGTGTATTCTGCTTATATGACTGACCAATCACAGTAACCTGAAGCTCCAGAAAATTAATCTTCTAATGGAACTTATATAATGTTTTCTTGAGAAAATTGCCTCATTTATGTATTTTATTCTACATTTCTTCAAGAAGACATCAGTGCCTGTTTGTCTTCATAAAAGTTCTCCACAGGTTTGGCAAGAATTACCTGTCAGATATTGGATGTTATACTTTCCCATAAGTTGTCCTCAGACTCTCATGAACAGCTCATTTAGTCCTCCCAGTAATCCATGAGTTAAGTGATTTAGCCCCCCATTTATGTAGATCTGTGATTGGATTGTAAATTATATTTCTAAATGCATGTCCCATAATTTTACATATAACACTTACAGAAAAAAATTAATGTGATTGTTACATTATTGTGTGTTATGCAAGCCTGGAGCTAATTTTGACCTTTATTCCTAGCTTATCAGGCAACTTATACACAATGATTTCAGATATATTTTCTTTCTGTAGCTCCACTAGGCTTTGCCTTTAGCAGCTCATGCCATTTAAACAAGATGTGCTCATTGTTATCAACAATCACATTTAGGAATTCACCACTTCTTAGATTTAACCTCCAGTCATAATGGGCGTCAACAGAAATTTCTTCTAACAAAATTTAGAATGTTTTATATCTGATGTTTACAAATACAGAGTTCAGTTAGCAGGACCTCCTACTCTCCATCAACTACAAAAACATTTTATATTTTTAATGTTAGGGAGTTTGTTATTATACTCATGTATGTATTCCTACTTACTGTAACTTGTTCTATTATTTTCCAAAATTTTACATAAGTAACCTCTTTAGATTTCTTTTAATAAAAATACATAAAATCCTATTTAGAGTGATACTCCCTATTCAATCAATATATCTTGTTATGATACAATCATAAAGAAGATGGAATAAGATGTTTGTATGATTTTCAGCTTGTGAAATGGTTAATGAAAAAATTAAATGAGAGGTTATATAAGGTTGCTTTAAACTTTAGTTAGGAATTTTCAAAAGAAAGAGAACAAGAAAATTATAAAATATCAGATATTTGGGCAGGTGTGAAGTGGGACAATATATTCAAAGTGGCAAAGTGGTTGAGTGCCCCTGAGTTCAATTCCCAGTACCCAAACAAATTATATTCACTGTTAACTGGTAAAAATAAAATAAAAAGAGGAACCTAAGTTAGGTTGAGCTCCATTATAAACAGCAGAGCACCATTCTTTATTCATCCAAGGAACAGTAATATCAAAATACTTAAGCTATGAGGTTATCCAACAGGCTAGCTTTTGTGAGCTACTGTCCCCCGTCAGGCAGGACGCATCAATGTGGGCAGCAGCAGGACGCATCAACGTGGGCAGGGAACCTAGATGGGCAGGAATGAAGGGACAAGAGACAGGAGACAGGAAAGGATGACAGCAAGACAGGAGTTCTGATCAAGCTGCAAATTTTTATTGTCCACACAGGGGTATTTATATGCTGGGGATGGGGAAGCTCTCTAATCAGCAATTGCTGGATGTGGGTGGTAAAACTGCCAGCTGTAAGATGTCTGATGATCCTGATAAAGATGTCTGATGATCCTGATAACCTCAGGATGTTCCAGGGAGATAGGTAGCTGCAGGATGTCTCCCAGGCAGGATGTCTCCTAGGGGGCTGTCAGGCTATTTTTTGAAGGAGAATTTCCTTCTAGTCCCTGACAAGCTACATCTTATCCTAATTTATGATATACTTTTTTATTCAATAGATTTCTTATCAATCTCTTCAACTTGCTATCTCCTCTAAGATCTGTGAATATGGACTTCACCTCCCACCCTATTCTGCTTACATTCATGAACTGGAATTAACTCAGTGACTCAACAGCTACTAGTAAAAGAATAACTCCTGCATAATGCCTATAAGAGCCTGGAGAATTGACATACATGTAGGTAAACATTCAATATTGTTGAAAGAACAATATTCTGTTTCCTGATCTGAGAAGCAATTCCTAAAATGTGGGAGAAGGTATTGTTCACCCTAATCTAGAGAACATGGGAAAATTGGGCAAGGCTAAGACTACCTGAAGATTCTGAGCTTTGAATGGATGGAATAATGTTATGAGACTGAGAATCTACACTACAAATTCAAAGGTTGCAAGGGGATTTAACTTAATATGATATATGTCTGGAGTTTGGAGATGGATATGGAAAAAAAATTATAATTGCCTTTGTGACATTTTGAGAAGACTCCAAAGCCTAGTAGAATCAATTATTTTTGAATCATAATTTTCATTTAGACACTTTCCAGGGGATGAACACTGAATCACATTCCTCAGCCACAGATATCACATTGGCTTTTTATTAATGCATATTAATTATGAAGAATAATGGGTTTCAGTGTGATACATTTATTCATGCACATACCATACACATTGGCTTTTTAAAACAATATCCAAGAACACTATTCTAATATTGACCTAAGTTAATGCCCAAAGATTTAAAGTCACTTGGTGGCATTTTCATCCATATTTATCCTATTCCTAGAGGAAATATAAAGGAGTGACCTTCTTCCTTCCCATTCATGATTTTTCTCTGATAGGTAAGAGAATAAATAATGATTAGAAGACTTAGCAGCCCCATGGGATCCACCAACATGTCATATCTGAACCCAAAGACAGTGATCCTGATTGGTATCCCTGGACTACAGCATGTGCAGTTTTGGATTGGATTTCCTTTCCTTGGTGTATGTCTGGTGGCTCTCCTTGGGAACACCTTCTTGCTAATCATTATCCCTATAGAACGCAGTCTGCACCAACCAATGTACATCTTCCTGGCAGTACTGTCAGCAACTGACCTGGGTCTCTGTGTGGCCATTGCTCCTAAGATGTTGGCCATTTTCTGGTTTGATTCTTACTCCATGGCCTTTGATGCTTGCCTCACCCAGCTCTTCTTCATTCACGCCTTGCAGAGCATGGAGTCTGGCATCCTATTGGCCATGGCCTTTGACCGCTATGTTGCCATCTGTAATCCTTTGCGCCACACATCCATTCTCACACCTTTCTTTCTAACTCGAGTGGTGCTGATGGTGGCAATTCGGGCAACAGTGCTTGTTGGTATTTTACCCATTCTACTCAAAAGACTGAATTTTTTCCACTCTCTGGTTATTGTGCATTCTTACTGTGAGCACATGGCTGTAGTCAAGTTGGCTGCAGAAGATGTCCGTATTAACAAATCATATGGGCTCTTTGTGGCTTTTGCAATTCTAGGTTTTGACATGATCTTTGTCTTCATCTCCTACATTCTGATTTTTCAAGCTGTTTTTCATCTTCCCCAGAAAGAGGCACGAATCAAAGCATTCAACACATGTACTGCTCATATCGTTGTCTTCCTGGAGTTTTATATCCTTGCCTTTTTTTCCTTCTTCAGTCACCGTTTTGGTCATGTATTACCCTATGTCCACATCCTCTTGTCCACCATCTATCTGCTTGTGCCCCCTGCCCTCAACCCCATTGTCTATGGTGTGAAGACCAGGGAGATCCGTAGAAGGGTTGCTCAGATGTTTGTTCTAAAGTCTGCCACCCAGCAATGAGCCAACAGGTAATATGTCAGAGGAAAAATATAAATGTGCCTGTTTAAGGTGAACTATATGTGGCCATATTTGTGAAATTTTTACATTACAATGCCCCCTAAAAATTTATATTACAAAGATGAACAGTCAGAACGGGAGATAAACCTGGCAAAAAAGTTTGTATGTGTCTCATAAATTCTTATCATCCCTCCATTTATCCCTTTCTTTTCTGATCTTCCTTTTTGTCTTTTTTCTTTCCATCTTTATTTCCTCTTTTTTTAATTCCTTCCTATTCATATATCTATTGAGTATTTCTGTAATGTTAAAGGTAATTTATCTTTTGAATGTGACCCAAGAACATATTCTTTGATTCTATGGTGATGATATAAGAATATCGTACAAACGTATTTTAATTTTAGTTAGGCTATGGTAAAAAAAAATTAATTTCACTATGAGGAGCAACTAGTGTAGAATTTAAGAAATAGTAGAAGACCTCAGAGGTAGTCATGGGAAGTGTGATATTTGAATAAAAACATTTTATTCAGATGATGAAATATTATTTATCATTATTTAAATTCAGTTTTTATCATTATAATTCCCATAGATGTATAGGTATGAGTTATACTACAAATCAAGAAAAACAGTTTCATCTCTCCATCAGTGACCAAAACATACAAATCCTTCTGCAGCAGGGGATTATGTATTAATATTCCAGTTATCTAATATTCGGTTTTATTTACCTGAAAAAACAAAGTGATTTTATTGGGCGAGCAAACAATTCAACTTCTCAGGCCAGAATTGCCTCTGATGTCCTTGGATGAAGCCCATTATCCACCTTTGTGTTGAAACTCTTAATAAACTTATTTTTTTACCAAAAAGTCATTAGGAGATAATTTCAAGAGTTTTAAGACCCGATCAATTAAATTAATGAAAGACTGTGATGAGGAACCCATGGCATTGTCTTCTCACATGTTCTTATCCCTATGGATCAAAAGGATTTAGAAGCTGGTGAAGAAAACCCAAGACATTGAAGTTTAACCCTATCTTCGTTAGTCTCCTGTCATGTCAGACCTTCCTCTCCAGAGCCTCTGTTACTTGAGCACATATACACCACCATGACTACCGCCACGGGAACACTATAGCAACTCATCTGGTCTCTCCACTCACTATAGCGTTTTTTTTCCCCTCCCCTTTTGATGGTAATTTTAATGGCTTATATTATAATCTAGAATAAGAAAGGAAGATCAAAGTTCACCTTATGGTCTCAATCTAAAACAGTGGATTAATGTCAAGGGTCTCCTATCAAGTGTCCATACAAAGCAAACCCAAAAGAATTTGGGTGTAAATAGTACATTTGGGAAATAGATTCAAGAAAAATCTTGTGGAAGTGGGAGCAAGCAAGACAGTAATGGGAGAAAGCCAATAAATATCTACTACTGAATAAGTAACTACTATGGAGTATAAGAGCTCTCTCTTGCTAGGGATACTTGGAAAAAACCATAAGAAATAGGACTCCACATTGGCCTACAGAGTGGCTAGAAATATGAGATATTTATTCAGTGATCCCATTCTTGATTGTCCGATGGTACCTCCTAGGATATCACATTCCCAACACTTCGCACACATTGCAATTGGGTAGATCTTACTCCCCAAACCAGAGAAAGGTCTTATACCAGAGTCATGGGAAATCATTGGCTTGGCCAGGAATTGTCTACAAGCAACTTCTAAATTAGTCTGAGAGAATATGAGCAATTTTTAAAAAGCACCAATTTTTTTTTAAAGTATTTACTAGGAAAACACACTACAAAAATATGGAGGCAGGAGTTTTATTTTCTGAATTTCCTTCATCATTTCATGGGGAAGATAACAAAGTAGTGGACTCTGTTGGATACATCATAGATTGTACAGTGGCAAAGAACTCCCATTCCCTGTGAAATTATCTTTGTAAAATAATTAATATTTTGTCATTAGATACTAAGAGGTCTAATATTTGTGTTAAGCAATCTAAATTAAAGTGCCAGCTGTTTAGAAGTGTAAGAGAAACACCATATTTCCAGTAAAGACTCCACAGGTAACCAGATTTAGTGGAAAGTGGTGTTTTGTTATAGTATTTTTTTTAACTAAAAATTATGAGTCATCCTTAGTTTTCCAGGGACATAAGATAGTGGTCAGAGGACCTTTATTTTTGTAATCTTGTCTGAAATACTGAGTCATATTGGATCACCTTCTTATACTAGACTTAATATTTTTAATGAAAATTGTTTTGTATACTTTGTGTACAAAATAGAATTCCATTTATATCCTTTTATAGAAAGATACACAAACAATAGATCAAGGGAGTTAGATTTCTCGATAATATAAAGTAATTGTCTTTGAAGAATAGAATATACTAGTGGAGGATAGTTTCAATCCTCCTGCCATAGTCTCATACACAAAATTGACGCATCTGTTTTGCCATTTACCATTTATTCATTTTATTTGATGTGGATTATCTTAACTAAATATTTGTTAAAGAATACCACATGAAAGGGACATGAATTCATGTAGGCAGAAAGGGATCTATGGCACTGTTTTTCACAACAGTATTTTTCAAACCACATCATTCTGCAATGTAACCATCAAGAAGGGAGTCTACTTCCCATTCTCTGAATATGAGCAGATTCTTTGATTGCTTTGAGCAGTAAAATACTGTGGAAATGATGCTAAGGGTTTTGCATGTTGGGCAAAGCTGGTCTAGCACTTGAATCTTTTACCTACTGAAGTCCTGGAATACCATGTAAGAAAACAAGGCTATTATGAGGAAGAAACAATGGCAAGGAATTCAAAGGACCCAGGCTTATCAGTGAGGATGTCATACTGAATACTTATCCTCCTCAGACACTCAACTGATTCCAGCCCCATTCCCCCTCCCATCGGCATGTGACCAAACTCAAGAGAAGATTCAATTAATCATAGCCAACCCAAACTCTAAACCCTGCAGTTGTTTATACTTCTGAAAAAGGTAAGCATAATAATTGAGAAGGAGACTATATTCAAGGAACACATTGGTCCGCTGAAGGTAAAAGAACATCTTTTAAATAAAACTTAGAAATACAGCTGATACTTCACTATCAGAAGATGGAGAGAAAAATCAGCTAAAACAAAATGCTTCTTTCTACCCTCTCTCCTTGTTCCACTCTATTTCTCTCAATTTCACCCCTTCTTTTCTTCCCTTCTTTCATTCTCTTATTCTTTTATTTTGGTGGATGGGCCGAATGTATAAGCCTGTGTATTTTTATGATCTTTCTGTTTTTTGAGAGAGAAGCTATTTTAAAATGAGACTTACCCATTGTATAAACATTCATCAAACTTACATGCCACAGGGATTCCAGATTCTATGAAAACAAGAACCGACAAACTATTCATAATTCAAGGAGAATATTTTATACCATGTGATATTAATCATGAATGAGGAAGAAATGTGTGGCATTGGGAACCTCTGAAATGGACAACAACATATGTCAGGCGTAGCTGGCCTAGCACTGTAACCCAACAATTGTCAATTTATTTAAGCAAATTTATGTACATGGAAAGTGGCATCTACAGGCTGTGAGATTTGTCAGAACACTTTAATATGCATATCTAATATATAAACATATGCAATTTGTGTATATGTATGCATAGCTCAGGTGAAGTACATGAATGTACTGGGAAAACATGAAAGAAAAAGAGACAGAGCCAACAGATTGTTTATAGATAAAAAATGACTTAGAAATATGTGTAGGAAAGAAAAATATGTATTTGTGCATGTTTGTGTGGATAAGGAGATCCATGGTGTTTGAATTGTTTAGAAACTTTTAAAACAAAAAACAAAACAAACAAACAACAACAACAACAAAAACTATGACAGGATTTAAAGCCTCTGAATAAACAGAATCTCTGGGAATGGCTCTACCCTTAAAACATGTCACTATGGGAACAATGGCAAGTCTGGAAACAAACAACTGAGGTATGGGATAGGTCATAGATGAATCTATGAATATGTAAAAGGGTTGGTTGACATGTGAAGGCAGGCAGTAAGGACAGCTATTGAAAGAAGTGTTTTTTGAGCTGTGAAGAATTTTTAACTAAGAAAGACTGACGGAAATGTCTTCCAGATACCAGAAGTACCGATAGATTAGTAAATAATGTAAGTTTTTTGGAAGCAAAGCAATAGTGTTGGATTGGATTGATATGCCTGTCCTGTGATTTGTTGAGAAGAGAGCTCCTGACTGACTCTTTTCACACTGGTATCTAGTCATGCAATGACTCCAATAAGGAGTTCACATCTACCTTGAGGAACGGGATGCTGAAGATTTTAACTGGATGAAAGGAGGTGTCTGTTTGAAAAAGAAGACTTCAGTTCCAGTTTCCAAGCAATTTGAAAAACAGAGAAGTTAGAACTAAAAAGGCTAAAACTTTTTAGAGATGCATACACTTGTGAGGTAGGAAAAAAGGTAGTGGGAATGTGCAGGGACATGTTGGTGATTGGTTGGGTGAAGAAACAATAAGGAAATAATTAAGTAATTTCAAGGCTGCATATTAAATTTGGCTCAATTCAAATTGTTACAGAAAAGGAAGCAGCATGAAGAATCCCCTCCCCCACCAAACCCTGATTCTGGGGATCAAGTCAGAAAGTTATCAGACATGTCACTCAGATTAACAGGAATGAGTTTATTGAACGGATAGGAAAAGGGAAAGTGGACATCTAAAGAGAGAGTGGGTCTTCTCAGAAAGGAAAGGGACAACGTGCCTCTCCTCTGCTACAGTTTTATAGGAGATTGCAGAGAAGTTACCAGAGAGTCCTGCCCAGGTTCACCTCCTGACTTTTGACTAACAGCAAGATGGCGTCAGACTTTCAAGGCCCACTGCCATGACAACTCTAGGTCACATTGGCCATGTTGACAAGTTCTAATTGGATTCTTAACTATAAATTCTTACAGATTTTTTTTTTTTTAAACAGGAGGAATTATCCTTATCTCCCTGAGTTTTAGGATCAGGTC